AATGCACTCTCCGTGCATATGGTAAAAATTAATGCATGCACATGTGATCCATTTCGACGCTTCTCATTGGCTACATTCTTGAACCCATTTTATAACAGATCATGACAGGTGCATGAAGATGCTACATCTTTTACTTCAAAGCCAGTAAAAGAAATGTTATTGTATATAAGTTGTCCCCACTACATAAAGCTGCATTTGATATCATCTGACAAAAGACAAATGGTGTCACACGATACAAGTTGAAAGAGAAGTTTGCATTCTGGTAAAGATAAAAAATAATTTAAGTTTGGAGGAAATAGCTTTGTAGATATGTCTCCTGAGAAGCTTTTCTCTTCAAACACCCTCAAATTCCAAATATGTCAAGAAATAGTAAAAAAAAAAGTCAAGAAATAGCACAAAAAGTTGGACCAATCTCTCATGCCACATGTGTGTTGTCACATGTACCCAGTTATATGTGCATTTTGTGAGACTTTTAGCAAGTTTTTTTCCATTTCTTTATTTGGATCGTTCTGAAACCTCACAGTATAATGTATATCAAACCTACGATACCACCCTTTCCAAATTGTTTCCAGAAAGTCTCTCTCACACTGTAATCAAGCAACGAGAATCCAACTTCACGTTTTTTTTTCTTCTGCCTGGAATACTGTGTTATAAATACAGAGTAGGAAATCCTATTGTTGATGTTATCCTTGACACTTACAGGTATGTTGTCTGCATTTGTCTGCTACGTGACAATAGGGTGCCGACTTGATGAATTATGAGTTAACGCCTGGCTGGCTACCAGACATTATGGTATCTGTGTCATCAGTTTCCATGTGCAGAGAGCCAAATTCTCTGACTCCAGACTTGGGGGAATAGATGATAAAAGCAAATTCTTACATGAGATCGTTCGGTCGTAGAATTAAAGGATAATCCTGGTGATTGACAACACCTTATTTATTGGGTAAATACCTCGAATAGTGTCAATATTTTTTGTGTATCTTTTTTTTGTTTTTTTGTTGTTACTGCTTTGATGTTTTGATGTAAACATTCATTCATTTATTTATATATTTTTGTTCCCATTTGCTATATGTTTTTGAATGCTTTTTTATAAGATTGTATGTTTGATGTAAACTTGCATTTTTAGTCTTTAAACTTTTTGACAAGACTTGAATAAAACCTCATTTGAATTGAATTGAATTGAATTCCCCATGAGAGCCCACTCCTATGCCTCTTTAAAGCCTATCTCCTATAGTTTGGCCAGGAGGGATTAGACCTCCCTGCATGGTCACTGACAGGTGGTTATCTCATCAAATCAGCTCTCAATTAACATAAGAAAAAGAGGATCATGGGGACCAATGGTCACTGATACAAACCTTGTTTTCTGAATAGAGGGAGCAAGTAGTACAGTGGGGCTTTAAAGGAACTCTCTGACCTGAATTTGTGACGATTTGATTCCTACCATAGTGTAAACTCATACTTTAATTCCACTATGGACTAAAATAAGGGCATTACTGACCGCCCACTGGACATGAGTGGACTATGCTTATGGAATTTTAAACCTGAGGTTGAAATCAATCCTGTTTATAAATTCTGGCATTAGTGTAAAATCACTGCAAAACAAAACAATTCTTGCCAGTTACACTAGCTATAATAATACACTAGTACATTTTTCTAATATAAATATAGGAAAATAATGAAACACAATAACATTGGTCTTTTTGGAGCCCCCAACATGTATTGATCAACAGGTGAAGAAATAAGCAAAGAAAGATGCAAATTATACAAATCTTGCAGAGCCCCTAAATCTAAGTCCAGAGATGAATGCATCGATCCAGCCTCTACCGTATTCAAATAACAGCTAAATGACAGGTGCAATAATTGAAACGTTGTTTGGGGGCTGAAAGCTAGCTAGGCCATGCTAATTGTTCTTGAAAGCCCTGACCCAAATAGATACAATGCAAAGCTAGTTTACAGGCAAAAGTCCTTGTCGCTCGCAGTTTAAATGAACTAAGGTAGCTTGGTGAAATGTAATGGCATGAAAAGATGCATCTGGAACACAAAATGTGTAAGAATTAGTGATATTTGTAAATGAAAGTGCTTTTTGTGACATATCTGAATGAAAGAATTAGTTTGAGAAAATGAATTTGATCATTCCTCTTGACAGATGCGATAGCTCAGTCGGTAGAGCAGTGGTCTCGTAATCCGGTGACCCGGGTTCGAAACCAAGGCGATTTGCGCCAGTGCCCTTAGGTAAGGCATTAATCCTCATTACCAGGTCCCTCGGAGAGGACCTAAAGCCGTTGGCCGTCTGGTTGCGTACTTACAAGCATTCATGCTTTCTTAGCAGTCAGGTAAAATAACCACCACCATTCAAATTTAAAAAATTTCCTTTTATAGTCCAAAATAAATGAAGGTAATTATGACACTTTATCTAGATTTTGCATAATTTGCTTCTTAAAATGTATTCCTGCAATAATTGCTCCGCAGTCCACTAACCAATTTTCAAACCTTGATTATACACTGCACATAACCCTAACATTACACCTAACATAAAATCCAAGTGAAACCCTACCCCCAACCTTCCATCTTTCATGAAACTTGTTGTAGGAGCATATTGTATGTAGCCAGCCAGAAGGGCATAACTCATAAACTGCAACACAGAGTTAAAGATAAAGGTGAGTTCTGGTAATGCAATTGCATTGTAAAAGAAAAGGTGTGGAAAGGATCAGAAACAGTTGATCATGTAGCATGTAAGTATTGGTGTGCACTGCAAGGTTCTGGAGTCATCGAAATCATCATAAATTTGGCCGAGTCTTGGTAAAGTAACAAGCACTGTACACAGAAAGCTATATATGGGACAACAAACATGGTGTCGGGGCTAGTACTACCTTGATTTCCTTATCTTTCTATGCTCATTACTCAGCCAGTATACATTTTCTTCCAAAATTGTTTGGCACATGTCATTTATTTGTAATCTTGAATATTCAGTGTAAGTTTCGTTTGATTCTGTGAGAATTAATTTTCTTTTTTTTTACCAGAACTGGAGTTTATCTTTAATGCCCTTTTGGCTCTGAATAGACTAGGAGGAAAGGGGTGGGTGGGGGGGGGGGGTAAATGTGTATGGCTAACTGCTGCCTAGCACTCTGGAATACCTTGCGTCATGAGATGAGAGATGACTTTTTAATAATGTCAAGCAAACATGTCACTCGAGTGTATAATGTTCTAGTTTACGTGATCCGTCGCACGTACATGTATAAAGGAAGCACATGACCTTTTGTGAAAGAGAAGGTTAGGTTTCACAGAGCCTTTTTTCACTGACAAACAACAAATATCATTGACAAATGTGCTGATAACCAATCAGAAGCAAGGATTTCACTAGCTTATAACAAAAACTAGCACTTGTCACTGATGACAATTTTTGTGAAATGGGGCCTTGGTAAAGATGAAATCATTTGTGAGCTGTCTAATTCTTTTTTAAACATATTTCAAATGATTGGGTCATCGTGGCCGGTCGGGTGGTTGCGTTACGTGAAATGAAAATGGAAGATCAGGCGACGTTTTGTAGAATTGCCGTAGGATTTTCAAAAAGCATCAGGTAAATTGGACCAGACCATTTGTACATTAGAGGGGTCTATTTTACATTGGCTCACTTTCTTTTCATTTTGATGATTTTCCAAAACTTCATACATCGGTTGTTGGGTACATTTATTGCATTGACATTTATTTCCATCATCATCATACTATACAAAGATAAAAGACAGAATATCTTAGCAGATAACAACATCAAAAGTACATAAGATAGACATAATAACATTACAAATATGAAGTAAATCTGGAAGTTTAAACCATAGTACATATACAGTATACCGGTACTAGTACTAGATAATCGAACTTTACCAAACGCCTCTAGACAATTTCTTTTTACTGTGTAATTGCATGACATGTAGGGGCCCTACTCAATTTTATCTTTATTAACCCTTGAAGCGCCAGAGGCAAACATCCATTTCAGCTGCCAACGGAAGAGCGAAATTAGAGCGCATGTACTCCAAGTCCTTGTTTCTGATTGGTCGATACAAGATTTGGGAGAGATCGCAGGAAATCACAATCAATTCCAAGTTTGTTTTTCTCCAAAGAGGCTAACGTATCATCATCCGCCAGCCGGACGTTTAATCTCTCTTCTCAAAAACTAGTTTTTAGAAAGTTGACAAGTTGAAGACTATAAGCACAGAAAAACTCAGAATTAAAGGCAAAGTCTATCCCGATGCAGTCAAACCTGCTTCAGTGACCACCTGTATAGAAAGACCACATTTTTAGTTTCACTTGAAAATGGCTTCTCATTTGAAAAATGTACTAAAGGATTCGTACATAAAGACCACCTGCCAATAAAGACCACTCTTCGTATCTCCCTAGGGTGGTCTTTATAGACAGGTTTCACTGTATTTAGTAGATTTTCATAGGAGCAGAACGCTAAGATAAACAGATTATTGAAGGTTTGAGCAAATTCTGATCCAATCAAAAAGTTATGAATTTTTGAAAGTGTATGAGAAACATTTTGTAATGATAATGACCTATATCTTGGGTACCTTTATGATTGAAAATTTCCTTACTAGAGTAACAAAATTTTTTTTTTTTTTTTTTTATGTAGAGAAGATTGGGGGGGGGGGACTTGTAAGGTACATTGTAAGTCACAGAGTTGGCAATTTGTGTCTGATGGATTGCAAATTCAAAAATTCTTAAAGACCGTCAACACTACTGGGCCAGAAGGGTTTAGACCACACAGCTAAGTCACTGACAGGTGGCCTTCTCATCAACTCAGCTCTCAACTAACATAAGAAAAAGAGGATCATGGGGGACCAACAGGCACCGATTGGAGAAGTTTTCTATATAGAGGGAGCAGGTAGCTACAAGTAGGACAGTGAGGCTTCAACATCCTTATTTTTGAATCAGTGTAAACTGATACAAATTAATGCCCTTCTGACTCCGAAGGAATGAAACAGTAGAAGACATTATCCACTTACTTCCTTTGATGTAGAGTACTGTTTTGATATGATGTCTTGGTCTGACATAGAGAATGGTCCCTCTCAGGCTGAGGAAAACGATCACCCCTTCTGTGATAATGGAGCAGCCCAGGAGGACCAGGTAGCCTATGATACTGATGAAGAGATGCTTGGCACAGTCTTGGGAGGTGTACTGCTGCGAGATGATACATATCAGGATGATGGCCCTGTAAAGAGAGAGAGAGAGAGAGATGGAAGATAAATAATGGGGGTGTTTATCAAGTCGTATGTCTGACCATTGTGACAAGGTTAGCAATGCAGTGAAACATCCAGTGCTCAGCCATGCTTGGAAGACCCTCATATTACAAAGAGAGAGAGAGAGAGAGACAAACACTGAGAGATAGCAAGAAAGAGGGTGAGAGAGAGAGAGAGAGAGAGAGCGGATGAAAGATAAATAATAGGGGTGTTTATCAAGTCGTATGTCTGACCATTGTGACAGGGTTTGCATTGCAATGAATCATCCAGTGCTCAGCCATGCTTTAGAAGACCCTCATATTACAGAGAGAGAGAGAGAGAGAGAAACTAAGAGATAGCAAGAAAGAGGATGAGAAAGAGAGAAAGAGAGAGAGAGACAGACAGACAGAAAGAGAGAGATGAAAGATAAATAATGGGGGTGTTTATCAAGTCGTATGTCCGACCGTTGTGACAGGTTTGCGTTACAATGAATCATTCAGTGCTCAGCCATGCTTGGAAGAGCTGTCATGATCTTTTATTGGATTACAATGTAGAAGGCAGCATCAATACTTTCATATCTAAGTTAGATATAGTGGCTTAAAAATAAGCTGCATATAACAGCTTTTTAGGCAAGATCAGTACATTCTTATCAGAGTTAGATGGAAGGACTCCCAAAAGAGGCTCATATTAGAAAGAGAGAGAGAGAGAGAGGGGGGAGAGATAAACACGGAGAGATAGCAAGAAAGAGGGTGAGAGAGATAGCAAGAAAGAGGGTGTGTGAGAGAGAGAGAGAGAGAGAGAGAGAGAGAGAAACAATGAGAGGGTGAGAGGTAGAGAGAGAGTGAAAGACTGAGAGAAAGGGAGAGAGCAAGAATGAGAGTAAACGAGAGACAGGGAGAGAGAGAGGGGAGAGAGATGGAGCGAGAGAGAGAGAGAGAGACTCACACACACTTGTCACATTTCATGGCTTGTAAATACACATTTTCTACCAAATTGGAATAGAGAAAACATTTTTATGTAGCTGCTAACATCTAATGCGAATTTCAATGTGTTCTGTGATTATTCATACCTGTGTAATTAAATATCATGACTTTATAATATATGGCATCATTGTCTGGTAGTCAGACAGGCATTACATTGTAGTTACTCATATTGCTCATCAAGGTGACATCCCTTTAACTCTTATGTGTATGTGTCAGGCGAAACATGAACAATACGATTTCCTTCGCTGGCATTCAGGCAGATGATGTAGCGTCTTCTTGCACCTGTCATGATCTTGTATTGAATTAACAGGGCATGCAACTTTAAAGCCCCACTGCACTACTTATAGCTACTTGCGCCCTCTATACAGCTAACAATGCCTAAGCGGTACCCGTTGATCCCCCATGATGCCCTTTTTCTTCTGTTAATTGAGAGCTGATGAGATTACCACCTGCCAGTGACCTTGTGGGGAGGTCTAATCCCTCCATGCCAAACTAGTGCAGAGGGGCTTTAACCCTCTGTCACGTGTTATGGATGGTGACGTTAAAAGGTCGGTCTTCAAACGTAAATAATCATTTCTGATTGATACACGTCTGTTAAAACCCCAATTACACACACACACAAACATCAACGCTCTCATATTTAGATATTTACATGTAGGTTAGATTTGTTATGATATATGAAATTGGATGAATAACACTTGCTCCTGCAACAATCCCTCCACTGTTAATTTCCCAAACTACCTGAACTCTTTACTTCATCCATGGACCCAGAACTAAGCATAACTAACCATATTCCTAACTCTAAACCTAACCTCGAGCTCAATTAAATAGAAGTGTCTTCGTCTCTCATGGATATGTCGCTGTATCACATGGGCCACGCTTTGAGTCCCGCTACAGCACTAATGTCCTTTGGCAAGACATTAATCTACATTTGCCACTCTGCACCCAGGTGTAGTACCCAGTATGAAGAAATTACTTGAATGCTTGAGCGCCTAATCACGGTAGCTCGACCAGAGCCGGGGTAATAACAAGATTGCAGGGCCCTCGGGGAGAACAACTTATTAATACTGATGAGCCTACCATGGGTAAACAAGACATATTACTATTATTATCATAATTATTCATCGCAACCATGATCCCCAAGTCTGTACTTTCAAAGAAATAAAGCCTGGAGCAATTGTCACAAGAGAAGGTGTTGGATGACCCGTAAAATCAGCTACGCAACACAGCCTCATAGTTGATATGATGAGTTTAATTCCAAAAGGAGCTAAATCCATTTTTGTAACTTGAGAAAAAAAAAATTGTTTACCAGATTTTGTACAGGCATCTATGGAAAAGTGATATTAGAAGGTGCACTTTTCATAATTGATCCCAAAATTTAGGTAAATACTTTTGTTGAAAGATGGGTACTGAACTAAACAATGTTCTGATATCAATTACTCAATTTTCATCAAAAGTGGATTTAGCTCCTTTTGGAATTAAATTCTTCATAGAGTGTCTGCTAAAGGCGAGAACGGCACTAGCTCATGTACTTCATGTTTACATGAATACAGTTGTCTGCACCATCACCTGCTGTCACAACACATCCCATCCCAGTTTAAAGGGATCCGGTAACTTTGTCTCAGATTCTGAAATAAAATTCTGGATTTAGCTCATGATGCAATGATAATTATAAACCTTTAGGTCAGTCAGGAACCCCATGACTTTTACAAGCCAATCGCCTGTCTGATTATCAAGATATTTATGATTGGAATTACAAATTTTGAAAACCGTTCGCCTGACGGTTTTCATAACACTACAGTCTATTGGGGAAAACGAGTATGGTAAAACCGGTCACTCAAAGATTTTTACTTTTTTGAGGCACTTCTTGATCATTTTGAAGCGCATTTTTTTTAGGGCTTCAATATTACACCATATCACAGACACTGATAACACGTAGGGCCGTGTATCTCAGATTTACCACTGTTAAACGATCCCTTTAAGCTAATATTGAGCTCTGGTAGGAGAATCGTTTGTCGAGAGAAGATGGCTATAATTCATTCTGGATTATTATCCTGCAGTAGATTGATTGTTTGAACCAGTAAAATAAAAACAACCTCATAAAAACTTGCTGGAAATCATCTTCAATAAAAAAAACTCTTATTTGCATATAGGGACCTGTGTAAAGCACATGGTGTCGAGCCTACTACCGGTATTTACCTTGATTTCCTATCTTTCTATGCACATTACTCAGCCCCTATACATTTTCTACCAAAATTGTTTGGCACATGTCTTTTATTTGTAATCTTGAACATTCAGTGTAAGTTTTATTGGATTCTGTAAGATTTTTTTTCCATCATTACCAGAACTCAACCTCAAGGTTCAAGGTTCAAGGTTCAAGGTTCAAAGTTCATCAACTGCCCGCAAGAAGGCTGTTATAATGCTATTGACAATACATGGCTGTTACTGCCTTTTTGTGGACAGACAAGGAGTTAATGCCTTCTGGTTCTCTGCAGAGAGATGCTGTGGTCTAGGTGATAATTGAATAGACAATGAAGCCCATGGTTACAAGGTTCAAATCTCTGCCACAACATTTATTGTACAGATAGATGTAGAGACAGGATTAATGTGTTCATATCTGACTAAGACGTGGAAGCTTAAAATCAGAGCTTTGCGTATCAAGCATGTATATCTGCTAGTCTCTCTCTTTCCTCACTCTTTCTGTCCTCCATATTCCTATCTCTAACTCTATATCTATGTCTATCTCTATTTCTACCTTTCTCTCTCTCTCTTTCTCTCTCTCTCTCTCTCTCTCTCTCTATCTCTCTCTCTCTCTCTCTTCCTCTTCAACCTTCCCTCAATCTTTGAACACTCTAAAATGTATGTGAAAATAAAAGGAAGTTGTCGCCTTTTAAAGTTGAGTGTGTGCAAAATCATCATTCAATAAATGCAACTTTAAATGTCCATGCTGCATTGATGAATCAACTTGCATAATGTCCCCCCTTTAAAGCAAGCATCAAAAAGGAGAAAGAAGTTGTTAAACACAAAATGATAATGGGAACAGCAAGAAAGAATGAGAGAGAGCAAGAAAAGGAGGAAGAAAGAGATGAAGAAAGAGATGAAGAAAGAGATGGAGAGAGACAGAGGAGAGAATAGGGAGAGAGAGACACCCACACACATGTCACACAAGCAAACAGAACACGCTACAGGCTTTCTTAAGTTGGAAACTGACTGGCTTTCATTAAAATTCAATCATAATTACGTTAGGTGTATTCATGCAGGCTCTAAATGGAAACAATTTTCCAATCAGCACATTTACAGCCTGCTTCAGTTGGCATTGACATTCGGGCAAAGATGCCACAGTCGTAAGAAAACAAACCACAACACAATGAAAACAAAAAGGCATGTTTGCATGGAATCGTCAAAGTTTTAATCATTCAGTTAGCCAAACCTTAAAGATTGAACCAGTTACCTGTTACATTGACAAGCATGCGGGTTCACAAGGCATTTAAACATTGACTGCTCGAAATGGTATAACTACTAGCGGGGCAAGCAGTCGTTGCTACTACAGACTGACAAAACCTCAAAGTTGTTGCATTCACGTGGCAAATAACTTTGAGTGAAAAACCTCCTGCTACTCGTAGTTTTCATGTTAGGCCTAACCATAAGATTGCTTACTATGATTTAAAACAGAGAGTAAACTTTGAATTTCCGAGACCCAGACTGTCTGCCCTGGTCCTGAACTTCAAGATAACCTTGAGGTTTCAAACCATGAGCTGAACTTTAAGTTTACAGATTGTCATGTGAACCTGGCTCACGAATAAATAGTCAACGACTGACAGGAATAACAACCGCGGGAGGCGTTAGAAGGGGTGCAAGAACAACAGCCTGTGTAAACAGTAATGATTTCATCAAATTAAACCCTATTCAGATGGGCTTGTCTTCAACAGCTCGAGATTGTAAAAGAAAACGCTATTTTAACTATCCCGATCGCAAATTATCCAGCTAATTTGCGTCTTCATCAGCCCGCA